GACATCAGTACTATGGGTTTCATTTTATTGTTTCATGGCCTCACTACTACAGGTTTAATTTCATAATTTGATGACATCAGTACTATGGGTTTCATTTTATTGTTTCATGGCCTCACTACTACAGGTTTAATTTCATAATTTGATGACATCAGTACTACAGGTTTCTATTCATAATTTGATGAAATCAGTACTACAGGTTTCTATTTATAATTTGATGAAATCAGTACTACAGGATTCATTTTATAGCTTATTAATATCAGAACAGTATTGCATGTTTTTGTTCAGTGATTTGATAATGTTATTTAACTGATCTATGACAGTCAGCTGATACTACAAAATCAACAATAGGGGTACAAAAGTTTATTCATGTGTGGAGCCATTTGCAAGTATAAAAAAGCCAGCCTTCTAGGAGAAGAGCTGTAAAACATGATTATACTGTCTTATCTCATGACGGCTAATGCTGTGACTGATACAAAAACTGGAACACCCACAGAATTTTTATAATACATAGCCTAGTTGGTTATAGGAAATGACTTTGAATGTTTTGTTTAGTTTTGAAAACTGTTTGGTTCGTTACAGATGGATGTTTTCTCCCACACTCTTTTGACTTCACTATCTTTCATGGGCAGTAATGACCTTTCAAAGGACAGATTTTCTGACTTGGAGCTGGTTTGTCGCAAAATGGCTTCCTCTCATCCTCTCCTTGTCTTGAGGTAAGATTAAAGAAACCACTGTCTTTCATGGACATTATTAATTTTCAAAGAACAGATTTTCTGACTTGGAGCTGGTTTGTTGCAAAATGGCTTCTTCTTCTCCTCGCAAGGTAAGATTAAAGAAACCACTATCTTTCATGGGCAGTAATGACCTTTCAAAGGGACTGATGTTTTGCCTTGGATTTGGACACCACATTATGATTCCTTCTCATCTTGTCTTTATTTTGAGGTAAGATTGGACAATCCATGCCTTTCTTTTAATTTCATTTTCTATAAACCATTTCAATGAGAAAGTAGCTCTGATGAAAAGAAAACCTCTTTATAATATAATAGGTATTTGTCAAACAGACTCCTGTTTTGTGCTTATATATGTTTGATAATATTTTACACATTGGTTGTGATAGTATCCATTAGTGACACTAATAGTAACAAGTTGCTACACAGTAAACAGCCTTATATTTAGTTAAAAGTAACAAAACCCTTTGTGAACACAGTATTTATCAGTATATCCATGGGAATGACTTTGTGGCTGAAGGGATATTCTCTTACCATAGTATACAGAATGTAACCACTATGGCTGACGGGATATTCTCATATCATAGTATACAGAATGTAACCACTATAGCTGAAGGGATATTCTCATATCATAGTATACAGAATGTAACCACTATAGCTGAAGGGATATTCTCTTATCATAGTATACAGAATGTAAACACTGTGGCAGAAGGGATATTCTCATATCATAGTATACAGAATGTAACCACTGTGGCAGAAGGGATATTCTCATATCATAGTATACAGAATGTAACCACTATGGCTGAAGGGATATTCTCGTATCATAAATACAGAAAACATGTATTTGACATAGTATGTGTACGTTAGTTAGTTTATTGTGTTTTAACAATGTATTTAGTTAAGTCACTGTAGTATGCTTCAACAAGATATGTATGTTGGTTAGTCACTGCAGTTTGTTTTAAGATGCTCTATGTGGTTTAGTCACTGTAGTGTGTTTTAACAGGTTTTATCTAGTTTAGTCACTTTAGTGTGTATTAACAGGCTTTTTGTAGTGTAGTTAATGTATGTTCTAACATAATGTTTTGTAATCTGGTCACTGGAGGGCAAGTTAAAAGATTGTGAATGGTTCAGTTAATTTAACTGTCAATGGATTATTAACTCGTCATTGTGATTTTACCGTTTATTTCAGACAGCTACCACTGATATCTGTGCTACTTTGTGGGAGGGTCAACTTGGAGTTTTCCACCTTCATTTCACAAAGACATATGAACCTCTTAACCTGCATGCTGGGCCTTTTGGAATTGTTGGTTCCTCATCTCTTCAGATCAGAGTATGCCTCGGCTCTGGCCGACACCTTGGATACTTACATGGAGATTTTTGAAGTAAGAGACAAATTGCTCTGTTATAAAAGCATATTCATCATAAAAATATTTTGAAGTAAAATTCTAGACAAAATAGCTAGTAAACCTTTTTATTTTCATTTGAAAATAGCTACAAACATAGTGAACTTAATCATCAGTTTTCTCATCCGATACATATAGTGTACACATGTTGGACAGACTAATACAGTGTATACATGTAGGATAGTCTAATATAGTGTACACATCTATGACAGACTAATACAGTGTACACATGTAGGGCAGTCTAATACAGTGTACACATGTATGACAGACTAATACAGTGTACACATGTAGGGCAGTCTAATACAGTGTACACATGTAGGACAGACTAATACAGTGTACACGTGTATGACTAACTAATACAGTGTACACATGTAGGACAGACTAATACAGTGTACACAGGTAGGACAGACTAATACAGTGTACACAGGTAGGACAGTCTAATACAGTGTACACGTGTAAGACAGTCTAATCCAGTGTACACATGTAAGACAGTCTAATACAGTGTACACATGTAGGACAGTCTAATACAGTGTACACATGTAGGACAGTCTAATACAGTGTACACATGTAGGACAGACTAATACAGTGTACACATGTAGGACAGTCTAATACAGTGTACATGTGTATGACTAACTAATACAGTGTACACATGTAGGACAGACTAATACAGTGTACACAGGTAGGACAGACTAATACAGTGTACATGTGTATGACTAACTAATACAGTGTACACATGTAGTACA